CCTCGGGAAACAGGTTGCTAGCAATTTTCATTCCAAACATCTACTCCAAAAGTACACTGCTTAATTAGACTTCAATCTGGTTTCCATACAACGTAAATCATTACATCACAGTCTTGATCTCCAGCAACTCAGAATGCAGAATGTGACCTTGTTTGGAGACAGGTTCTTTACAGAGATAATCAAGTTAAAACGAGGTCATTAGGTTGTGCCTTAATCTCGTACGGTTAACATGCTTGTAAAAAGAGGAATTGTAAAAAGCTGTGTGTAGAGAGAGAATACAATGTGGTCATAAAAATATGGCCGTCTACAAATCAAAGGGACATGCTTTGGAATAGATCTTTTCTGACAGCAATTAGAAGGAAGCAAAACCCTACAAACACACACACACACACACACACACACACACACACACACACACACACGAGAATTGAAATTTTGAAATTATTCTCAGCTTTTCTTAAGACTGGGACAGTCATTGGGTTTTCTTGTTCAACATTAACGTGATGGTGGTTTAGGGTTTATCTTATATTTTATTGTGTTATATATTGTTATGTCATAAAAAATAAAAGAAGACTGGGACATTCAAAATGCCTAGGATCAGATTTTCCCTTGTTTCTTCAATGTATAATAGTAACATAAAAGTAAATTTGTTTCTAAGTATTCATTTAAAATTAGATATCACATATTTAGGAATGATGCAAAAATATAAACGGTATATTCAAAAAATTGTTTTATTTTTCCAGACAGGGTTTCTCTGTATTGTTTTAGAAGCTTTCCTGGAACTCGCGCTGTAGATCCGCCTGCCTCTGCCTCCCGACTGCTGGGATTAAAGGCATGTGCCACCAATGCCTGGCATATTTTCAAAATTTTATTTAAAATTATTAACATTCTCTGCAGTGTTGAACAGTGAACTTAGGGATTCATGCATGTGAAGCAAGGGTTTTACCACTAAGCTAGATTTCCAGCCCTCAATTTTAATTTTTAAAAACGTGAAGCTGGGAAAAGTAAATGATGCACTGGAAATATTAAAACAATATAGATGAGAATTTTACACTTCACATTTTTGTTTGAGAGCTTTTATTAATTTATACATTTTTCTTAAAGTCTAATTGTCTATCTGCTTAAGTCTAGAAATTTTTGCAGTAATATTTTGTATGATAATTAAATGATGCCAATCATTTGACTTCTTGTTTTTGTAATGTCAAAGCATTTCTAAACAACAAGACATTGTCTATGTAATTTACAAATCAGAACAGAGATAAATATCTAATGTAGAAAGTGGAGACATTTTCTGAGTTCAAAAATAATTTGCTTACCCTTTGAGGTAATTGTCAATGAAATTAGAAGAGACAATGTAATTATAGATGACAGACTTAGAATGAGAGGCAGGTGGCACCGCTTGGTGACATAGCTTGGTAAAATGTTGGAGAAGCTAGGGTCAACCTCCAACGCCCAAAGCAAAACAAAACAAAACATATTTAAGGACATAAAATAAAATGGCCAGTCTAACTTGCAGACATGATTGTACATCTGAAAACTCACAGGAAAAAAATTAATAGAAAGAACTTGTTGCAGATAACATGGGTGAGTTGAGAATGCAAAGGAGACAGAACAAGATGTTTTGCATCCAGAGTTTGATGGTGTTTACCTTTGTGTGCCTGTGGTTAAGCATGTTAACATCCAAAGAACTGCGCAGCAACTAAGGGAAGCCAATTGACTAGTGCCTTCAAAATCTAGTACAATCTAAGAACGATTTGGGAAACAACTGAAAATTTGATATATAAAATGAAAAGCTTTTAATGGCAGTAAAGAGCATAAGTAAATATAAGAGGAACGGATAGAGCATTTGGGACTCATGTCACAGGAAAATGAATTGTAATTCCAACACAAAAAGTGATAAATAACTGGGAAGTAAAAATAAAAGTGCTACGGTAAAATGAGTAGAAGAAATGAATAATAATACACACACCAAAAAATCTAACTGACCCTTATTTATATAAAAATCTGTTCTCTTATTACTTTGCTAATAATAACAGAGATTCAATTTCATATTACAGTAAGACATAATTTAAGATGTACAAATTGGCAAAGACCCACAAATTTGAATGAATGACACGTGAGCCATGATCTCTGGTATAGGTATTTTTATATAGTTTCTGACTGAAATACCAAAATGATACTCCTTATATAGGGTAATTAGAAAACTACATATATCTTTAGTCTTCACAGCAGTAATCTCACTACTAGAGATCATATTGAATAGACATCTCCTGAGGCACAAAGAATAACTAGAATCTATCCTTCAAAATATAGTATATCCTTACAATGGGAAATAATATAAATTTTTGAGAGAAAGAAGGAAGGGTACAGGTATGTGGCTTCTGGATGACATCTTGAATATATTTTAAAAGGAAAACAGTGTATTAAGTGGGCAGCAATATATACTGTTTTTTCTTTCCAAAACCAAATTAAATGATAAATTAATATATTTTTAAAATGAAGTCTAGTGAAGATAATGATGAGAACAGGGCATGAATGTGGGAGATACCTTGTGTGGAATGCCCAGAGAATAAGGGTCTCCTTATAGCTCCCATTTAGGAAAGAGGGAGGGAGGGAGGGAGGGAAACTGGAGGGTAAACTTTAATATTTACTGAGTATTTGCTTTAGTGAAACTGACAAAGATGGAATGTCTGGAATATCACTGATTCTCAAGTTAATGGTTTTCCATAGCCACTCAGATAAGTACTTGAAAGGGAGATGACATTAATTCAAAGGAATGGAAAAAAAGGCAACATTTCTTTTTGCATTTAGAAAGAATTGTTTGTATAAATCTGAAGAAATGATTCTGAAGTTTGTAGATAACTTAAAGTATAAATAATTCTGTAATACAATTATCGAGATACTGAACTACATTTTATTGAACTTTCTGAACCGTGTATAAATATTTCCTCTCTGTCAATTCCATGAGTGTTTTTTTTTCATTTCCCGATTAAAAACAAGAAATGTTGCATGTGTCTTATTGTGTTTCCACAAGTGACTCCTGGTTGGATTTGCATTTAGGAAAGTCAGTGGAAGTAAGCAGTGTCCCTCAGTTTTGTATGAGAAGAATGTGGACTAGGCTGGGAAATTGCATCTCCCTACTGTCCTTTCTCTCTGTGCTTTCTTGTTTTGTATCACTCAATTGGCATGTTCAATTAATTAAAAAATAATCTGCAACACTCTGCTTGTTCACACATATCTTCATATTCCCCATGAAGCACAGTTGTCTCTGCCACTGCTACAGAGTAGTTTAAACTTTGCACACTGACACTGATGATTCTTACATGGGGAAGTCAACACACAACGTTATCTTTAGCTTACAGACTGGAAGCAAGTACTAGGGACAGGAATTTAAAACAGAGACACCTTGGAACTTCACTCTGCAATACAGTTGAAAAGGCATTTGCATAAATGACAGCTTCTATTTTTGAAACTCAAACATTGACCTCTATCTTCATGAATATCATCTGACGGTGATGGTATATTGCAGCTATTCTTCCTTTAAAAAGTTATTAGAAGGCTAAACTATTCACTATCTTAATGCTTTTATAAGGAAATGATCAATCATACAATTCCCTATTCATATTTTCTGTTTTAAAAATAGCTATTTCTCTTTGTAAACTGAGATGAATTTACAACATGATTGAAGAAATAAAAGCCAGGTTAGTCTGGGTACTTAGCACATTGAGGCAATTAGAGGTTGCATTTTAATTAAGATCTAGTCTTTGTTCAAGGAGAGGAAATAATGAAATTGCATGGAAATATGAATGGGAGAATGAGGGAGAATTTTGAAATAAAAATTTAAAAAATGTGATTAATGTTGGAAATCCCTTAGAGCCACAACTATCTGTCTGCTCTCTTTAATTTGGCTGGAAAAGAATGGAGTTGGAAAGTTCTTATCATTAAATGAAGGCTGATCGCATTTCTCAGATGATCTTTGAATATTTCAGACATTTGACCTTGCCAAAGTAAGGCGGGGATGGGGGTGGGTGGGGTGGGTGTTAAGACAAAAGAGGGGTGGTGGGGAAGGACTGAGAGAAGACAGTGTGAATTTGGGAGTCCATTCTCTTCTTCTACTATGTATAGGTCCTAGGATCAGGATCAGGCTTGCCAGGATGTGCCTTTATATGTCAAACCATGTGGGTTTGCGAGAATGCCTTTTAAAATGCCCGAATAAAGGAATGTATCATGGGTAAGGGCCTACCAAAGTTTAAAGAGTGTAAAGGAGGGCACCTGGACTTTCTTAAACTAGAATTATTTATGCCATACACCCGCTGCCCTTGTGTAAGTCGCTTTCCAACTCTCAGTCATTATGCACACTGAGAATTTTTGAGCAGTTGCATCTGCAGCCTATATTTACAAAGACTCGGGTGTATAACCCAGAAAAGGACTGTGAAGCCCTTCCTGTGGTGGAAATGTGACTTGAAGAAGTAATAATCATATAGCAAGGTATTTAGAGACGAAGAGTTCTGACCTGGCAGTTGGAGGGGACAACACCTAAGACTGTGGTTTGGGGAGCCTGCAAAGTCTTCAGAATCTGGGAGCGACTGTGCAGAGGCTCTAGAGAAAATGTATTATATGTCAGTATTTCCGTTTTTATCCTGAGGTATGTCTACAAAGAGCTTCTCCCTTGGCTCTAAGCCAGGCATGTCTTTGCCACAGACTCTAGCGAGCACTTTCTGAAAAAGCTGTATTTATTCCTTGAAGCAAATCGCATTTTTTTGTCACAGACAACCTGTCTGTCTCTATGGAAGTCACATACGTGCACAGTCTGGTATGACCTGGAGGGAAAGGAGTTTGAGGCCTTTTCGCTTGAATTACAGTGTTTTAAACAGCACTCCTGATGGTGGAGGCCTAAGAGCTGAATAAAAACCCTGTGGAGCCCGCCCAGGCAAGAGAGGGAGAGTGTGAGCTTCCAGAGACTACTCACTGCGCATGACCGGCGCGCGTTGCCACGGCAACCAGGAAAGGCAAACCCGGAAGCCTTGGCTCGCGGCAACCAAAGACACCAAAGATCGTGTCCTATCGGCTCATCTTTATTGATTCCAGGCCCAGTTTTGACCAGAACAAAGCAGATGAGGAACCGAGTCCGAGGCAATGGAATGGCTATCTGCTCAGGAGCCGGGCGACTCAGAAGATCAAGGTGGCCCGGCCCAGACGGACGTATGTGCTACTCAACTTTCTGAAGAGATCCCCAGGTCCTGCACAGATGAGGTACTGAGTTCTGGCTCCATCAGCTCCTCCAGAGAGCAGCAATCTTGTTCCCACACTTCCGAGAGCCCACCAGAGAGCGAGAAGGCAAGTACAAGTTCAGAAGAACAAGACGAGCAGCCAGAACTTTCAGTCTTACAGAAGCTTGAAAATAAGCTGAGTGAGAAGTGGATCAACCGCATCAAAACCAAAGAAATTTATTCCGAAAGACACCCATCAGACAGCAGACTCCCAACAGAAACCCCGGTGGGATCTGCTGAAGAACTGAATGCCCTGCAGTCATTTTGTACTAGTAAAGTAAACCTGATTCACCAGAGAGAGGGTTCAAGAGCCAAGAAAAGCAGCAGACACAAAAGGCTGCAGTTCAGAGGGATTGCAGAGACTTCTCAGGAAGACGCCTTCAGCTGTGCTGTTCCTGAGGAACTGTTGAGCAGAGTCTGCCTGAAGAACACGAGGGCGACTCTAGCGCACATAGGGGCTATTAAACAACATGTTTCTTCGCAGTGTCCCAGTTGCAATAGCAAAAGGGCAGAGCTGGCTCGCTCTGACTTCCTGAAACGAAAGAAGACACTACTGGAGTCGCTTCTCCTCCAAGAGAAAATAGACGAACACCTTCATACCACAGACCTTCTCACCCGTGTTGGAGAAGCACATCATGGCTTCCCCAGGCTTTCAGATGATCCTAGGATCATCTGGGAGAGACTGACTAGGAAAATTCAGACGGGAAGCTCTGGCTTTGGAAAGGTAGATTCAAAGCAGGTGTAAGGTAGTCAAGTACTCTCCCACTTCTCAAATCACCTATCCATCCAGATAGGAGGCTCCTAATGATGATATATAATGTGTCCAAGCAGGGGATGGTGACTATTCATGATAACAATGTGGTATTCATACATGTTCCTTTTGCATATTTGAGTAATTGCCATCTTTTACAGAGGAAATTTAGAAACCAATGTAAAGTTTTCTTCTGCCTCCTTCACGGAGCAAATTCCGTGCAATAGTTTTTTCACACTATCAAAGACAATTGGAGTAGTTACAAAACCTTTATAGTCTAGGAGAACGATACATATTGGTAGTTTGGAGTGGTGGTTGACAGTCCAGAAAGAAAGAAATAAACAGATGTAAGATAGTTAGGAAGCGTGGTTGGCTGGTTTTGTTGATGAAATGGCTTCGGGGATTTAATAAAAACTACATGTTAAAACGCACTAGAATTCTGACTTGTCTACTTGATACTTGAAAGGATGGTAATTTCCTTAAGACAAGAGACTGGTTAGTTTCTGTCAATTTGACAAAGACTGAGGTATAGCCTCTATCACACTGGTCTATGGGAATGTGGGTACGTGTGTTCATTTACCTGATTAATGATTAATTTGGGAGCATCTATCCTGCGGTAGGGGATGCTATCCTTGGTCAGGTAGTCTTGGGCTGTGTAACACAGCAAGCTGAGCAAACTATGGAAAGCAAGCCAGTAAGCATATTTTCCTATGCTTTCTGCTTTAGTTCCTTCCAAAATGTTTCTACCTGCACTTCCCGTCTTTGGATTCCCCTATTAACAATAAACTGTCATCTAAATGATTTCCTCCTTCAAGATGGTGTTGCTTAATATTGCCAACCCCAGCAACAACAACCTAAACAATGAAGATGTTGGTTCCAGCGGGTGGGACACTACTGTGATAGACCTGACCATGGTTTCTTGGGACTGTTGTGGAAGGATCTGAGAGCTCTGTGCTAGGAAAAGCCTCTGAATGCTCAGAGCTTTATGACCTGTTGGAAGAACTTGTACAATAGGCATGTTGATAGAGGGGCAGCTGCTGGATGCCTGGCTCGTAAAGTTTTAGAGGGAAGCAAAGGCTATCAGGATGTTTATGTGATGTTCTGAGTGGAGAATCTGACAAGGGGTCAACTGTGCTTGTCTCTGCCAGATGACACAAAGGAGAATCACTTAGGAAGGGGGAATTCCAACTGAAGAACTTTCTCTGTCACACTGGCCTGTGGGCGTACTGTGGGGACACTTTCTTGATTACTGGTTAATGTGGGAAGGCTCGGCTCACTGAGTGCTGCCATCCTTAGTTAGGTGGTACTGGGTTGTAAGAAAACAAGCTGAGAAATCCATGAAAGACAAGTCAGCAAGCAGCATTCATTCCTTCATGGTCTTGGCTTCAGGTCCTGCCTTTAGGTTGCTCCCTTGAGTTCCTGACATCCCTAAATGATTCACATAAACCTAACAAATCCTTTTCCTACCCTAGTGGTTTTGGGTATTTTTATTCCAGAAACAGAAACCCAATAATACAGACAGGGACACTAGAACATGGCAAATTTGAAGGAAGTGACCGAATAAAATTCTTTGAATCTAAGTACTGCGAGGTGTATTTGAGACATATACATGGAGATTGTAAAGAAATAGGTTATTTGTACTTACAGTCAACAGGAAAGGTCTAGGTGTTAGAACACAGAGGGACTAGTGGGAAAATCATAGGTAAGTAGTTGAAAATTTAAGCCTTACATGGGGTAAACTTTTCTAGACGTTAGGAGAAAAAACAGAAGCAGGGATAATTCCAGATTCTGAGAAATGCCAACCCTGAATGACTGGGAGGGGTAATAATCATGCAAAGCTAAAGCAATGGAATAAATAATATGAATACATACTACATGAAAAATGTAATTGCTGGCAGTGAAATAGGTGAAGCCGAGGAGACACAAAGTGGTTATTAAAAAATCCCTTTTGGTCATAATGATTTTATGAGTCCTCTTTGTCCTAATTTCCAATCTAAGGAAACCCAGTACCTCATAACTAAGGATGGCAGCACTCAGTGAGTGCTATTAATGGGGAAAAATTACATTTATCTTGATAAGTCATACTTATGTTTTATTTTCTTATAGAAATAAAAAGTGCTACTCTGAGATTGTTTCTGTATGTCATATGTCTAACTTATTTTAGTGAAAGAGAATTGTGTTCACAAAAGTTAGCTCACAAGATCCTGTAGCCATCACCTTACAATTTTGTTCTTTGAGCTAAGCTTTCATTTCATAAATGATCTTTTTCTCGGAAAATATCTTCTTAGTCATTCCTAAATAAAATGGAAAAAGTCATTGTCACTTACATAATAACTTTTCAGTTGAAGTCCATATTACGTCATACTTTCTCTTTGCCTCTCAATAGATTTACATTTTACACAATCAAAACTTTGAATAATGTTCCATTTAGAATTCCCTGTAATAAAGGTCAAACTCTTCTCTATTCATCAACCAATCTGGAAACAGTAAAGTCATCTTTTATTTCTCCTCTTATAATCATCTCAACAGCAAGCTGTTTTCCTCAACAATATCAGATAGGTTCTCTTCAGCATTTTCACCAAGACTTGTTTCCCTGGCATTACTTTTCTTTGTGGAATCTTTAACTTTCTACTCCATCTTTTTCTACTCTCCATGCCTCCCTCCTGTTTTCAGTTATTTTTCTAGCACTTGAAGGCTTTTAAATAATTCTGCTAATTTAAAACAGAACAACTCAGATCAGCTTCTCTCCATTACAGAATTAGTTCAAACCAACTGATAACTACACAGTGGTTCTTTCACATCTGACCCAGAGTTATCTTTCTAGTCTCTTTCTGTATATTCAAGCTTCTCTACAGGATGTGCTGTTCCTCAAACTTTATTGTTCTTTGTGTCAGTACAATTTACATGCACAAATGGAGGCCAAGTTTTTTAACTGATGAAAAATGTTTTAAAGCTAGCTTGTTCTTTATTACTTATTTTAGTTTATGAGTTTTGTAGCTTTAAATGGGTACTATGCTTACATGATCCAAGAGGCTAAAGGATATGGAAAGGCTTGGTGACCAGGATCACTTCCCTATGGCTACCATCCAACCCTATTCTGCACTAGCCTACAAGACCTATGTACTTCCTAGGTTTAAGTGTGACTGATTTGGGTAGAGGGCACCCATCCATGCCAAGATAAGACTCTTGAGACAGAGTGAATTCAGGGAATTTAGGATTACCACTTTACTAGAAAGAGCTAAAGTATTTTTGCACTTTAACCCACTAATGTGTAAAGCCTAATTAATACCGTTACCTATAAATGAATTGGTTTCTTATATGTTCTTCCAATACTGTTTGAGCAAATACAAACACCAAAGGTATTTTGCTACATTGTCTTGTTGTGGTTTAGGTGAGGGTAGCCTACAGGTTCAGTCCTCAGCCTATGGAGCTACTGGAAGGAAGAGAGTAGAAGCTTGATGGTGGGGCCTAGTGGGAGTAAGTTGAATCATTGCAACTGTGTCCTTAAGACGAGTCCTGAGAACTTCCTGTTTCCTTTCCCTTTCTGAGTCTGAGTCCTGAGCTGATCAGCTCCCACCACCACCATAAGCTCTGCTTCAAAGTGCTACCCCGCTAGAGGCCCCAAAGCCTCAGGAAAGGAAAATGGACTAGGACTGGTTGATGCATGTAGATCTTTTTTCTGAATCTAGAGTGATGCTTAAGGAACCAGTGAGGCACACTTTTGGTTATGTCTCTAAGGATGTTGACAGAGAGGGCACAGGTATATAGCAGAACAACAGGGGAGGTGAAACCATCCCTAACTGTGGGCATCACCACTCTAGACTGGACCAAAATAAAATGAAGTAGAAAAACAGAAAGGCAGCCATATGCAAGCTCCATTCCTTCTGAGTGAATTGTGAATTGTGTCTGTTCTGTTCCCATCACCCATAGATGGCAGACCACAGACAGCTTCAGTCTTTCTAGGAATGTCATTAGCCATTATACAGGAATGTAAAGGCTTTTTTTTCTTCTTCAAACTCAGAATGCATCTCTGGTCCTGTTTCTTCTGAGACATTTTGTTACCCTTATTGAGAAGCTAATGGGTTATCTGCGTCTCTAGCATCCAGAGAGTCATTGTTTGAGGAGTAGGCCAATCTAATAAGCCCACTTTTACAATTACATATGTAACCTATTGGCTCTATTCTCCTAGGGAGCTCTCCACAAATGAGCCAAAATAGAAACCCCGCTTATTCCATGGCTGAACAATAGCCTGTTGTATGTATAGTTTTCAGTTTGTTTAATCTGTTTAATTGCAATGACACTAAGATCATGGTCACTCTTTGGCTAATGTAAATAAACCTGCTGTGAATCTGCCCTAAGTGTCTATTCAACCACCTGTTTCTAATTTTGTTTTATCTATACCTAGAAGTTGTAATCAGGATCACATGAGTTTGTGAGGGTGGGATCTCTATAAAGTCATCAGGGCCTTTGTATAAAGAGCTAGCTGGATGACTTCCTAGGCTAGCTTTAACTTTTATTAGAAACAGTGAAATTATATCCACAAACATGTCCGTGTTTTATATTTTTTCCTCAGTGTTCAAGTGCTCCAATTCTTCATGCCATTGGCAGCCTTCTTATTTTTCATGTAAAAATTTACAGACATGTGTAGGCATGCAAAATGGTATTTTATTGATTTTCCTATCAAATGTTCAATAATATGGAACAACTTTTTATTTACTTGATGGTCATTTATATGTCTCCTTTGGAGAAATGTCTTGTCAAATTACTATTTGTAAATTTTGTTGAATATTGTAGGACTTACAAATTTTGATATTAGATTACTCTCATATATATGATTTGCAAATATTGTTCCTATTCTGTGGACTCTAGTCCCTTAAGGCAGCTGATGCATAAAATATGTAACTTTAATGAAGTCCAACATATCTCTTTTGTTCCTTATGCTTTTGTGTTATACTAAGAAACCATTGCCATATTTAAGGAATTGCACATTTCCTTTGCTTTCTCTACTAATAGTTGTGTAGTTTAGCATCTTAATGATGAAAACTTAGAGTTACATTTGTCATGGCTTGACTGTGACTCACAGAATTTATGTGCAAAGAATTCCTGAATGCATATGACTTTGCAATGTAATTAGGGTTAGGTGAGTTCACAACGTCAGAAACCTCTCAAAGAACCACTGACTTTGAAGAAAGGTCTCCTGGCCTTGCCTAACTCCACTTTAGATGCCTTCCAACCTGTTATGACACAATAAAAAAGTCCTCCCCAGATGCTGATCAAATTTTGTAGTATGCTGTGGACTGTCCAGCCCAGAACTACTTTCACATAAAGTATATAGTCAGTTTTAGAAATTTTATTGGAACACTAAAAGATGGGCTTATATGTGCCTTTTTTAAGTTAAATTTTCATTTATGGGCCCAATTTCATTATTTTA